TAATTTATCGGTATTCCGAAATCACCCACTTCAAACCATGGTTCCTTCAATAGTTTGTGTTTATGTCGTAATCTGTGTGAACATAAAAGGGCATGCAAGCACATCATTTCTCGCTTTTAAAATTTGAGAAAACGTTTTTTCGCTTCGAAATTCACCTTTCAAATGTCGCATTCTATCGTTTTGTTGTCATTTGATAGCAAACTATATTGAGCACATCAGGCTTATCACTCATAATCGTTCACTATTGACTGAAATTCGTTCTCAATTGCAAGAACTCTAAATTGCTAGAGGTATGTGAACTGGAAAACCGAATCGAAAATGAGCGAGTGTTTGCGGAATTTCTAGATATAAAATATCACACTAAGACGTTGAACTGGGGAGATTGAAGAGGGCAGAAACTCGGATGTGAGCTCAGCTAGTTGAGATACAGGTTCAGTTTTAAGAGTTTAACAGAGCTGAAACATTTTGACAAGTGATCAAATGTGTCACTGATTTGACGTTGTATCTGTAGATACCATCAAGTGGTTGGTACTCTAGCCACTGTTGACATCTATTCGGATCGACCATCACCGACCATCAAACACCTAATTGAACGTGCGGTTCGTAGTGGCCATATAGGACGACTTTCTGTCAGTAATGAAGGCTTCGAGTTCCACGTTATCAAGGGTGAATTCGTTTCTTCTGTTTGTTTGTTTGTTTGTTTTTATTTTGCTTGTCAATATCAACTGCAAGAAATTGCGATTTATAATTATCGCTTCAGCACCGATAATCGAAAAATGCGAAAAATTTCTCTCAATTCATCAAATTCAGCCTCACCAAATCGCACCTCATCTGCACGCCAAGACAAGAACACACGATTTTGTGTGTCTCAATATTAGCAAACGTAGAAATTGTTTGAAATGTATTCTATGCAAGAAGATAAGAATGTCACCGAAAATAACACTGTTTAACGTTGATGTTCATCACAACACCATTATCAATGATAATGATTTCACTTCATCGAATTCAATGTTCTCCCACTTGTTCATGTCAAGATGATTTTTCATGATATTAACAGATTGAAGTGGAAAACTTGAACAATGAGCAGCAGCTAGAATCAATAGTTCATTGTAAATTTCATCTATTCATTTGCTAATTTTTTGATTGCTTTGCTCTCGTCAGTCTTAATTCTCTTCTTCTCAATATTATGATCACTCTTGCAATCACAGAGAAAACTACGAGCAAATACAAAGCAGCTCACAGCGCTGGTCATATTTGCACATTCGAAACATTGCAATTTATATAACAGGATTGCAGTTTTCAATAGCATTCAACTGATAAGAGCCATATTTCCGACCGACTGAAAAATTATTGGCAAAATTTGAGACTATTCGAGGGAAAGAAACACTTCCAGCTCAGATTCTTCTTCGATTTCTCACAATTGACGTGTCTCATTCTAAATTTTTTTCATCTCAAAATAACTACAGCTGTTTTTCATGTAACGAAACAGCCTCACGTAAAACCTTAATTCCAAAGAGTACTATCAGCTTATCAAGAAAGTGAGCAACAAACGTAATATCAGTGGAATTTTTTTGGCAAACGAGAGTTGATTTTGAAAAATCGCTTTTTTTAGCGCAGCACTTCCTTAATTTTTCTCATCTTGCATACCAATTGGCACGCGTTTGATCATTCGATGGCTACTAAGTCATTACCAGTAGCTTGTATAACAGGAAAAAATAGTAGTTGCTTACAGACATTCCACAAGAATGTTTGTGTATATTTTTGTACTTGTCAAGAATTTTTGTGCGTCTTATCAGTAGCTGCTATCAATGAATATCAGATAAGCGCTTACAACGCGGTCGGATTAGTAGCTAGCTATTTAGTAGTGAAATGTGCAGTGCAATTAGTGAGCAAATTTCTTGATTCCTTCAATAATGCAGTGAAATGAACTGCACACATTATATCTGCAAAACAATTGTGGTCAGTAGTTTCAGTTGGAATATCGCTCGCTCTGCTAAGTGAGCATTTTGAACATGTGAGATGATTGATTAGGCGCAGTATAAAGATAGAAATATAAAGATTGCAAAAGGCAACGTATTTTTATGAATACTTGTGAGATGGCTTGAAGGAAGAGCTGCAAATATCATATCAGCTCTAACTAATTTTCACTAATTTACGACCATTTTTGGACTGAAAATGCGGACGTTTTGAATTATGGTCGAAATTTCTAAAGCCTTTAATTAAAACTATCGATAAAGGTAGTGCAGGAGTGCACGTGCCGGAGAATAAAATTCAGTTTTGATTTTCAGATAATCGAAATGAATCGTTAGAATTCTTTCGAGCTCACGAATAAATTTTCAGTAGACTTCATTTGACTGAATGATACAATTCATCATAAACACTTTTCAATCGACAAATTGAGTCAAATGAGTCACTTCATTGTGTGAATAGCTATGGCGTTTTGCTGCAGAGATAATCGATCATAACTGTCCACATTATTACAACATCAATCATCCATCTCTTTAAGCAATTCATTGTGAATTTGAAACTAATCTCATTGCTGTTTGGCTTTTGTTTATGATAATACTAGATGCCATTTACGCTGTCCATGGTTATCTTCAAATCTCAAACTGCTTGCACGAAGACACACTAGAAAGCTTATTGTCAAAAAAATCCGAATAGTCCAACACCGTACTTGAGTGAAGTAGATTATGATCTACTCAAACTTGCTATCATCTAGTCAAATCTATGCATCCGTTCACGTGTCAGACAGTTCAAATCCTCTTCAATAACCACTGAATTCTTTCACCACCAAAAGTTTTTCAATTGATCTGCTACAGTTTCGAAATTGGATCAACTATGCCAAATGCTAACGATAAAAAAATTAGCATTGAACGGTCAGCAATTCACCGCAGAATTGTTTCTTCGTGCGTTGTTTATCCGTAATTCATTTTATGTAACCGAAATGAGAATCGAGCTCTGTAAGCAGATCGACTGCTCTGTAAGCTGCAGGTGAGCATACCCATAGCAATTAAAATCATCACCAGGTAAACGGCTATTAAATTTACGGTGGTTTACGCTGCGATTATTGCCTGCATTCTGCTATTGATATGAATCAAAATAGATGGAGAATAGAATTTGATGAGAGCTATTCAAAAAAAAAAGAGCAGAAGCTAGAAGGCGTGCTATTAAATGTTTTATGAAATGATCGCACACAGATTTATGCATTATACAAACATTTATGACCTTGTTTTTTGGCTACTACACATTTTTATTGTATCAGTACGGTTATAAAAACATTTTATCGCTGTATGTTTCCTACAATGCTGAATGACAGTGCGGAATGATCAACAACATTTTTATGTGTTTGTGTTCAATGTGAAGAGGCGCTGAAGCTAATTTACAAAACGAAGTGGTGTTAGCATAAATTATTCACTATTAAATGCAATTGAAATCGTTACATACATCTGCTTTGTTTATAATTGCTTGCGTTAGTATTTTTGGTTGTTTTGATAAGGGCGAATGATTGTTGACCGATGAAGATGGTGCCTTCTGATTATGAGCTGGTATTGTTGCTGTTGTGGTTGAATTGTTTTATCAACTGTACGAAACATTGGGCTATAGCATCCAGCATCGATAAATAAACCAGCAAACTATCAGAATCGTTCCAATACTGAGCGATCGACAAACGATTATAGCAAAACGTTAATAATTCTAATGATAAAGAGGCGATAAAATGATAAAAGAGTGATAAAAATGATAAAAATATCCACATAACTTCAGTGAACATCAAAATCCCAAATGCCTGAATTTGAATAGCTGATATCGCGAGAGAATATCCATTCTTTATCGCATAGATCGGCGAATAAATTTTCATGTCATGTAAAATACTGAGTGCACCCAAATTCAGTTTACGTGTACTTGCAAGTGGGAAGTGACAAGCAATGATCTAAGTTTTCGTCAGTCCTGGAACAATTTTCGAAAATGTCCCAGATTGTTTCAATCCAATTCCATTTACAAGCAGATTTCATGTGTAGTTCAGCATCATTTCCGTTGAAATGTAATATAATGTAACACTTTGAAAACGTTGATCTCAACGATCAAACAGCTGAGAGAATTGCATTGAAGAGCGAGGAATGCGCATTGCATTGGTTGAATAACAATGCGTTAAGAGCCATGGAAAATAAATTAACTCGCAGCATTTTTAACTTAAAGCTTACTGAAAAAATGTACAGAACTTCATCAAAATGTGATCTTCAATTGAGCTTTGTATGAGTGATAATCATACAGTGAACATCGGGAATCTCCATTAAAACAAGTGTTTTTTCAGAGACAGTCAGTAGTTGTGGAGCCGAGCAGTTCACTTGCAAGGGAGACGGTAGATGCATTGATCCGAGATTACGATGTAATCGATTCAAGGATTGCGCGGATGGTAGTGATGAACTGGAAGAATACGGTTAGTGCTTGAGTGCATTTCTTAAATCTCAAAATATCCCCTAATCCAGTCACTGTTTGTCATTCAATCGTATTGATCCAATCGGCTATTTATGGCATCTAATTGTGTCCAAGACTTAATTTCCGATTCACCGTTTAAATATGCCGAATTTCGCGTAATTCATGACTAGCCAATGATAACATAGCAACAATCTTCGATGAAATATTGCCGAGAAGTCATATTTTGGCTGGTGAATTTCTCGTTTCTTTTGCAGCACTATGTTCTCGTCTGACACCGATCATTCATCCTCTGGCGTCACATTTCGACGTTCACTCCGATCAAACCGTTGAACTATCGGTTACGATTCGGCAACTCCCACCAGATCATCAGGTATTCGATTATCGAAATTTTAACTGTGCCAATCGATTCGTGCTGATTAATGCTGCACAATTTGTTTTTGCTTGCTAACATTAACTTTTTGCTAGATAACATTAACTTAAGCATTTCATGGTCATAAAATGAAGTAGTAGAATTATGGGATTGACTTTGAAAGGACTTTTCCATTGTCATCGACGGCTAACACTGGAATAGCTCGAATCGAAATGATCTGTGTGGATGATCACTTGGGCACTTTCTCTAGCAATATTCTAAGGAGGCAGCTTAATTTAAGATTCACATCTGTAGTGGTGAACGAAATAATGTTCAACATTCTTCGTGAATGCTATTCTCTTATGATCGTAGCATTTATGGCACCGAACATTCATATGTCCATAAATCATAGGTGATGCGCGAGTACTATCGTGTTATTTTCGCAACTTTGTTCGTAAATGCCTTTATTTCATTTATCATATATGAGAGCGTTCGCAACTGCTAATGTGAGATATTTGGCCATCATTTTCTTGTGTATTTGAATTTCTAATGCTTACCAAATGCAACTTAACAATCTTCCACAGCAGCACTCGATATAATTTATTTTATTCGCAACATCACTAAGCAATGCTCTCAACGGGAAGTTATGACCTCGTTCAGCCGTTCTATTGACAATATACAAACACAATCTAGACAATAACAATGTACACATTAAACGTTGTGGAATTTGTGTTGTTTTCCCAAACGAATTCCACCGAGCACTTTTTTATCGTGCCGATGAGTGGGATTAGAGGCGTCTCCAAAAAAAAAACTGTAGAACAACAGATAAGTTTGTCAGATAACAGACTCAGATTGGACCGGATTAGACAGGATTACAAGCAACTTAAAGATCATGAACCTTTCAAATCAATGGATTTACCACACTCACAAGTACTCATCGATGATAACCGATGAATTTTATCGTTTTCTTCTCAAATATTTTAAGATAAGGTAGCTTATGTGGGAAACTGATGGCACGAAGGGTAAGATAAGGTGCACAGGATTACATGATTGATGTACCGTGGGACATGGCGTCAGTGGCGTCGAGTACGCAAAAATGCACAAAAATACATTTGTCATGGCTGTCAGATGTTCATGTTGAAATAAACCAAAAAAAAGAGCACTTGATATGCTTATCTGCAAGGCACCTCCCTCAAAGAAACGCAAAAATTGTCATAAAATTGTATTTTGGCCACCGTAAACATTCTTATCAATCACGTAGGGGACGTAAGTATTTTAAGATCCTTGAAGCAAAAAATAAACTCACGAGAACATTACATAATTTGGCTGCTGAAACTACAGTATTTCATTAAGAAAATTCCTTTCAAAGGAAGTCTAATAGTTTTTTTGCTCAATCCACATCCTTTGACAGAGAATATTGCATTGTGCGGAATCTTTGTGAGCATTTGGTCTACTCATAATTTTGCCATACTCGATCATATACGCAGATCTTCTGAAGAAATGCCGGCTCAGAAAAGTATGTTATTATTAGAGATAATCTAAAGTACTCTCACAGTTTGATTGATCTTCACCTCAATCGATCGTCAAATGGATATTTGGCTTACCGTAAGCAGATTTGTCATAAGTGATATTTTGGACGAAGAAAATGTTCCAGTCATATGTAGGCAGGAGAATTTGGAAAATTCAGAGGGAATAACGCATATTCAATGATTAGGGTGGGGACATGAGATGTTTCTTGATTACTAAGATGTTCTAAATTGATTAGATATTTTCATCGAGAACCTAAAAAATCCAGCAACCATCGCTGTATCTTGAGATCAAAAGTTGAAGCTCACGTAATGATTAACTTTATCCTACTGCTCATCATCGCAGAGTCATCTTATTAGCAAAAAATTGTCTCATATCAGTTACGTAGTATGTGTGTCGTAACTCAGTACTTTCGGAAACACATCAGCCCAGAGAATGGGATAAAATTTGAGTTCAATGCGCGAATATTTCTTATCTGTTTGTTCAGGTTTTATCATTGATGAATATATTAATCATTCAGGAAACAATCACTGAGAACAAATTTGATCATGAGATGGCTATTGAAATCCGTTCGTCCAAATTATTATCGCAGTGTGATCAGTATCTTAGGTAAACAATATTGCAGGTGATATGGTCGAAGAATGGCGAAATCATTGCTCAAGGTGGTCTAACGATCAAGAAAGATCCCCGCATTCATGCGTATCGCTCTTCTGAACGATACTTCCTCAAACTGGCGAATGTGACTGACGAAGACGCAGGCCGATACAAGGTAACACTTGAAGGGCTCGGCCTAGAAGCGGTCGTCGATGTTCGAGTGATTCCGAAACAAGCTCAACAACACGCGCATGCGCACCGACCTCAACAGCCAGTTCATCACCGTCAATACAAAGTGTCTTGTCCGCACGACCAGAAAGCATGCCAATCAGGCCATTGTCTGCCGCATTCGAGATTCTGCGATGGTCGTAAAGACTGTCCGGATGGTGATGATGAAAGCAATTGCAATCGTAAGTTAACCCAATCCTCTCGTTGCTTGATTTTCTCTTGCCTGTTTACCAATTCCAAGACAATAATCAGAATAAAAACTTGAACTGGACTCAGCTAAGCACATTGGGAGATTTAACTTGCATTTTACAGATCCGAAATGTGCATCCAACGAGCTACAATGCAGAAGTGACGGTGTATGTTTGCCGAAATCGATGCACTGCGATGGCGTAGAGGATTGTCGAGATGGAAGCGATGAAGCGAACTGTACGCACAAAAAGAAAACTCAACTCACCATGATTTTCCCACCACATCAGGCACATCATTCGAACGTGCCTTGTCCGGATGGTTCAACGCCTGAATACAGCTTGTAAGTGATTGATTTTATTCAGTCTGTATCACTGATATTCATTTGATGCTTTCGTTTGTGAAATGAAAGCTTCCGATGAGGAATTTAAGCATAGAGAACACAATAATGGATACAATGTATTCACTGAAACTGCATTAGATTTTCCATTGACATGAGCAAATTTGATCAAGTCGCAAGAAATTTTAATCTTTTTTAGAATAATGTGTGAAAACATGGTCTGCATCTGCTGCCGGAATGTATTCAGTCCTTTCTTGACATTGCCTTAATTCTAGACAAAATTTCTGCGCCTTTAACATAATTGGTTATAGTAAATAAAAATCTAAGTGCTCTGATATATTTTAAGCATGTGTAAGTGATCAGTAGAACACCAGTGACCTATAGAAGTCAAACTGGGACAAAAATTTCGTTATATTATGTATTCGTCAAGAAAGCTCATAAGCGATTATTATACGGTAGACATTGAAATGTGTAAGTCGAAAGAGGATCGAGTGCGTGATCGTGTCGCATGCTTCTCGATAATTTTGCAGAAATGACACGAATTAGGTCGAAAATCATGCAAAACCAATACTACTATTATTGCGTTCGAAATCACAATCGTTCCTGTGATTAGTATTACTATAAGTGCAAAATCGTGATCCATCGAAACTGCAGCCATCGACCCATCACTAAATCTAAACACGAGTAGTAGACAGATGAGTAGTGCATGAATAAATTACGATAGATAGCGCATTTTACCGTCCGTTCTCCGCTGACTTCGCTTGGTGCATTGCAGTCAGAAGCGATTTGATTCAAAACGAATCGAATTCGAATCATGGCGCCACTCAAATGTAATAATGTCTGGAGTTGGCGTGGAATGAGCCACAAAAAAGCTGTGAAAATATTTTTAAAATGTCCAAATCTGTTGGAACAATGAACACACCAATGCTTGATACTGGTAGAGATTATGTTCGCTTGTAAATGAATTCACTCGGCATGCAGTCAGTTTCTTTCTTGACTGCGCTTATCTGCACCAACCATCGACGATATTCGTCTGAATTCGCAAAAAAAGTCAGCACTGATTGCGAATGTATTCAACGTTAGTTAGCAAAAACATAGTCTGCATACTGGTGAACGAAATTCTTTGGATATTATAGCAGCTTAGTGGTGTAACACAAGAGGATTAATCTATTTGATAAAATAAGAGCATAATCTCAGATTCAAGACTATTTAACGTCCATCGCAGACCATAGCCGGAAAAAATGAAAGATCAGATTAATATTATGCAATGATCATGCTGGTTGGGGAAGCTTATTGTTAGACAATCAATTAAACGTGGATCTTGTAAATAACAGAATATAACTGATTTTTCAATTGAACTGATAATTTGTCCAGCTATGGGTTATCATGCAAGTAGTAATGATTAAACCGAAAGTTGCACTAGCTAAGCAAAATTTCGTAACTTTTGGAATTAGAAACGAATATTAAAACGTTTTCACGTTCGTAAAACGTTGGAACGTTCGTATGTTGCGGTTTGTATCATAGAAATCAATATGTAGGTAAAAACTGTTATAGATATAGTAAGATAAGATTTGATGGACATGAGTAGTAATTACTATCAAGGTTATTTTTGTGATTGCGTACGATATGAGAGTGCGATCTATGACGCAATATTGACAGGATAATCAGAATTAGAAGTGATGAATTCGATTAATTGAGAGATAGGGCTAAGTGGTTTGAGGTTACATTTGAGGAGTTTGACAGCAATGGGTTCGTGACAATATCAGAATCATGGGACTAAAATTTGGACTTCCAGGGGTTTCTCTTAGAAGTCTAAATGAATTCAGCTCTATTTTTGTTGTTCGGATTGGTGCTTTAGCTATGATTTCGCACTGAATCTATTCAAGAGCATTTTATGAATCAATTTCGATAAGACACAATTAGCTCTCTCTCAGTTCGAAATCATTTGCAAATGCATATGATAATTTTAGTCGGATGATAAGTTTGACTGAAAGATTCCGCTGAAAATGTTTCCTGAATTTTGGAGCTTTCGTTTATAATATATTCTCGAGGTATATTCTGGATTACGGGTCGTAACTGAGAGCAATTGAAGTCGACATGATATGTTCATCATGTCACAAAACCTTATCAATCTCCGAAAGATCATTGCCTCAGATGATATTCAATCGAAGTTTATTACAGCGAAATAAAACTTTTTGCAGGCATGGTTCGACGTATTGTTGGAGTCATTCAGTGTGCCCTTCAGAAACAGCCTGCATAGAATCACAATGCTGTGGAACAAACCGTTAGTTCTTTTTTTTCGTTACACTCAGTTTTGAATTCATTCCTGAATTCAATTCGTCCTATTGCCTTCATTGCCCTCCGTCTTCTGCTAAAACTTTACTCATTCTCCAATATCAGCAAATTTCATTACGGATGAAACTTCTTTTTTAATACTTCCTTTGCTTAAAATGAACGAATACGTTCACCTGCAAAGTATCATGCCTTATCTGCTCCTAATGTCGCCTCAACTTCAGTCTTGTTAAATCTTCAGCTGAACCCCAATGTTGCGTATCCCATACAATTCTTTTGCCAAGCAATATGACGGCAAATATGAGCCACAAATATGGCGAAAAAGATGCTAATCATTTCATTCAATCATATTGCTTCTCGCGATTATTGCGCTAGATCGATGTCGAAGTAGCACTATCTCTTATCAATTTACAGTTTGATTTGATCTGATACTTACAAACTGCAACATATTTGCCGTAGGTTCTCAGCGATTCCTGTTATTGACCAGTTCATTGACCACCAGAATCCCCAAATCAAAAGAGATGAACGGCTAGGAATTTCGGTAAATCTGTTGATGGTCTGATTCGTTTGATTAGGTCTGCATAGATAGAATGAACTGATTTGTATGGTTAAGTGTGAGTGGGTTAGAGATTGTTGTCATTATAACAGGGGCTAAAAGAGGCAACACAACGAATTGTACTGAGCTGATTAAGTGGATATCTTTATGGTGTTTATTTACCGATTAATTGCTGATCCGATTTGTTGACATCAACTTCAACAGCAGCAATAATAAATTCACAATGCTAATATTGGATAAGTTCAAAGCACTCAGCAGTTGAAGTTAGAACTAACACATTCACTGTCAACGTTTCAGTGAATAATTTTTATTGACAATTACTCACTGAAGCATTATAATGAGCAGAATAATAATGAACAGAGAATATCACACAATTGATCGAAAAGTTAGAAGGGATCAATAAAAGGTGCGAAATGCGATCAGTCTATTTCGATGCATAAATGATTGATCCTATCAGTGGTTTTAAAAATAAACACGAGGAATCATGACCACAAGATGCTCGTCGGAATTCGTTGGAACAGCTTATGTGTATCAGGCGTAACTCTTGGTCAACAGGATAGATGGATAGATATGAGACAGTTAAGGAGGCAATTGAAGAGTTTTAAGCAGCTTAGAAGCTGGAAGATTTGCAATGGGACGGATTCATGATCAGATTCATAATTATCAGGCAAGAACATTCAGTAGAATCCGGTCTTCATACCGAAGCACTTATCGCTTTTATGCAATGATCTAACAGTGATTCTCAATAACCCAACAGTCCACGCTTTTCACTGTGCTTTCGTTACCGTCTCAAATGATCTGCTCTAATGATATCTTGTAACAATTGCGAAGGTTTCTCACAAGCTTTCAATATGAGTTTATTTTTTTTAATTAACATCACCGTAAGCACTAAATAACACCAGCAATATCAGCAACACTTTCGTTCAGTTGCGAAAATGCATTCTGATTTCACAGA